GAGAAGGGATTCCTGGTGATCCAGGAGTTCAAGGCCCAATTGGTCCACCAGGAGAAAAAGGAGTTCAAGGAATGCCAGGGCCACAAGGTCAGAAAGGCAACAAAGGGCCGCAAGGACTACAAGGACCAAAAGGTGTGGAAGGAGAACAAGGAGATGAAGGAGAAGCAGGAGCTGCAGGAAGATAAAAGCAACAGGCATTGAAATTTATCGGAGATATCGAAACAGTCGCTTTCAGTGATATCAATTCTCATAATTTGCTTGTTTTTGATTGCATTCAGTTTGTTGTTTCACACATCCTCTTCCGCATTCTCTATCAATTGTTAACTATATATCTGTCAGCCGAATCTTCTTTTCATTTACTTCAAATTACATTTAAAGGATCCGTTTAGCTTTCATAGACACCGTCATTTTGCTGCATTTTCATTCGTTAGAATAGTCATTGAATTCATTATTCCACAAACAGTTCTTGAAATATTTCTTTGTTTTATGAATTTTGGAATGATTCATATCAGAATCCAATTTTCCAATATAAGTAAAAATTTTCCAATATAAGTCTCTTCAAAATTCTCTTTATTAAGTTTGAATTTAAACCTTAAAACTCTCTCTCACATATCTCCTGTATCAGAATTTTTATTATGATTTATTCCATGCATTTCAAAAGTATCTATGAAACCTTTTTGTATGATGATTTGAAGCAAGCAGAAGGAAGATTCAATTGATTGATAGAAGATCAACAATTGATCGAGAAACCGGGAGGTTCAATGAAAAAACGAGTGTTGAATCTTCAAAAACAGAAACTATTTCGGAACCTGTCTAGTGCTCACTATTTGCAGATTGATTTATTTTTCTTGAATTTTTAAAATCTCTCGAATTGTCCAAGACTTTGACATGTACGAAAGAAATTTCTGCGATGTTAAGAATCTTAATAGCAGAAAATCGGATTATTTGCTTTTCTGGTTCGAAGATTAGATCATTTTGGGATTGGATTAAATCACTATTAAACTGCGTAATTGCCAACTGATGGCACACGTCGTTTATATCTACGGCCACTCCATTGGTTATCTCTTGTTAACAGTTATTGCGGAATGACTAACGAATAACTCGTAGAACTTCGAATGAAACTTCATCTAAAGATTTGATTATTGTGGAATTCATTTTTGCATATATAACTTCTTTTAATATATGTGAAATTAAATAGCTGTTGAAATAAATATGAGCAATGATAAGAATGTAAATAATGCAATGATAAGAAAAGGCTGTGTCATCAGAGTGATTTGATCCAAAAGAAGATATAATCAACAATTGCAAGTAATAAAACAAGCATAATGAATTCATTTGTTATTTGTTAGCAAGAGATGTGTGTCTTGTCGATTGATCTATGAATTAGTCGTAAAATTTTATTTAGAAAAGTTTGACCAATAAGGTACCAAAGGCTAATCGCAAAATCCATCCAATAGTCCGAACAACCTTATTTACAAACACCAGATATCATAATACTGTTTCATTGCTCTCAACAGATTTTAAAATAGTTTGAAGATAATCCAAAGCTTGCAGAGACACTGCAATTTCAGCTTACGAAATATGATAGGCTGGTGCACACAAACAAATAAAGCAAAGAAACCGATATCACTGATAGAGACTGTTTGGATATTTCCTTATATTTCTTGGTCTGTACTTTTATCCTGCTGCTTGTCTTTTTAAACTTTGCATTCCAACTCTTCCTTTTTCCCCTTTCTCTCCTACATCCCTTGGCAGACCCTTGCTGCTCTCGATCACCTGGAGTTTCTTTTCATTCTCCTCGCCCTGGAAAGCCTAGAACATCTGGAGGCCCTATACGCCCTGTTAATAGACCGCAAGCCTGAGAATAACATTTGCAAGCGCTTGAAGATCTGGATCATGAAAATAGCGCAGATGACAAGCGGGAAAGTACCAAAAATTGCATTGGTACTGAAAATCTAAAAACACAACTGTTGAAATCTTCAAATTTCTTTTTCATTTTTATTCTTTGAAATACTCGGGGAAGCAAAAGTCTACGTTTACTATTTCTTATTTAAATTTCTTTTCTTAAGAAAAATCATGATTTACTAGTCGCAATTTAAAAAATTACTGTCAAGAGCTGGTAAACGGTTTTAAAATTTAATAAAATTTGGTAGAGAGAATTTCAAAGAGAAATATTCTATTTATATTGAAAAGTTGGATGTCTGATATAATCTTCTCGGAATTCATAAAACAAAGAAGCATTTCAAAAATTCTTTATTGAATGGTCGTTTGGAATGCAACATTAAATGGTTATTAACAGTATTTATGAAAGCTAAATGGATTTTTTTATGAATGGGAGGAAGATTCGGTTGACGATAGAAGACCTACAGTTGATAGAGAATTCCGGAGATGGAAAAAAAAATAAGTTTTGAATTTTCGAGAAACAAAAGTGGTTGGAAGTCTAGTTGATGCCAGCTATTCATAAATTAGTCATTCTTCAGAAGTTTTTGATTGCCTTGAAATGTTCAACTTTAATCTTTTTTTCTCTCAGTACTGTTATTGAAATACAAGTTAAATTTTTTGGATATGAGAAACATTGAGTTGCAGAAGGAGATCCTAGTAAAGAAAATTGTGTAGAATCTTTGTATGAAATTGGTAAAAGTTTAGAATTTCACAAACACCTGAAAGTTTTGAAGTTCAAGTAAAACTTCACCAGCTAACTTATGCAAAAATTGCTCTAACAACTGTAATATTTCTTCATTTCTTTTTTGCACAATCTTCAAAGAAATTACAGGATTATTTTTTTGAAAATTCTATTTCGTACCGATTATGATTTCAGGTATATGGTTCTATAACATTCTCTCTATCAATAGTTATAAGAAAAACTGATGATGAAATTGGCTTAAAATGTTATAATATAGTAAAAAATGATCATTAGAGAAGAAATAGATGATAAAGTTATTATTGTCCATAAGTTTATTTCAATTAGAAGAAGAATGATTCCATTAAAAATAATATAACAATAATAATTTCGAAGAGTAAATCGATGGAAATAAAAAACACATGGATTATATCAGAGTGATAAATCGTTGAATAATTATTAACAAATGTTATTTGGTCACAAGAATGATAATAAACATTGGTCATTTCATCAGCAACTCAG